CGGGTTCACGGGCGTCACGAATCAATCACCATACTGTGACGCCGCCATCTCACCACCGTGCTCTATCACAAACGAAGCTCAGTCCATCTTCGCCACGTTGATTACACATAGTCAACACGTAAATGACATGCCATATCGGAGGTGGTCAGCTTCCTTTCTGCTAGGCTGCCACCAACGACCCAGGAGTCTGGAGTCGGGCACAGCTAGCATCGTTCGAGAAGCCTTAAAAGATATGCTATAGCCTCATTACACCTCTGACTATCGTACCTTGTGGGTCCTCGATCTGACCTGCTTTGTGGATCACCTGCCAAGGCCTCCCGTTGATCGCGTGGGTGGGATGAAATGGCTCTACGCGGATACGGGACGGCATTGACCTGCTTATGGTTCGTAAGACGATGTAGTCCTTGGTCAAACTCATTCTCGCTCAAAAGAGGTAAGGTCAGTGTGAAGATCTACGTTTCTCGCTCCGTATGATTTGCGCTGCTTCTGTGTGGACTCAACACTCGCTTCGTTATTGTGTGATCTTTCTGCGTTTCTCAGATTGCAATGCATTGTTTCGAACTGTTCCTATCGCTACTAGCTCGTGCTTTCTCATCTCTAAATTCTTATCATTCAGGTCTCGATGCGCTTCGAGTCTCTCCCGGTATCTGAATTACCGTCTAGAAGCGCTGTGGATACGAATGCAAACATCTTCCTGAGCCGATTACCAAATATTGAAGTGCTCCTAGATAGTGGTACAAACTGGGTGACATGTCTAGAAGAAATCGGAAACGAAGATGGGCGACATACGGCGCACTGTAACGTCAAAGTCATTCTACCTTTCTGGGCAGCGACTTTGTGGTACGGTTTTACTATAGGGCTTCCAGTATTTTTTTTTTTTCGTAACTATTCACAATGCTGGAAAGAGGTGGGACTTGACAAGGACGCCGGGTCGACACCGGTCCAGACATACCAAGAATCATGCCAAAGCTACTAGAGCTTAGGCCGCAAGGATGAAGTAAATGTACCAGTGTGTATCGAGATCTGGTAGTACTTCAACTTTCAATCAATACTCACGTAAACCCTCGCATAGCAGGTTGAAGCGCCTCTACACGGACAGTCTAATTCGCCATCCTTGCCCTAATCTCGGGGTAAATCGATGTTTATCAAGGGTTATGTCGATCTTATGAGAACATCGACTACCGTTTCAAGGCGACGGGGTTTCTTTTCAATCGCACTCGGCCGTTTAGGAGCACTTCGACGCTCAATTACGAACCAGGTTGGGCTTCACATCGCAGACTGGAGCGTTTTAGTAAGACCGGTCCAAACCGTGTTGTTTGTAATCCCATTCTAGATTCAGGTGAGATGGATCAACCCTGCTGGGGCACTGCAATCCACTGAGTTCCCAGCTACGTGGTAATGAAAGTCTGAAGTGCTCCTACATACAATCCCAGACTGTGGTTCAGCCTGCACCTTCCGTTCCTTCCATCGGCACCAGTGTTGTCATCACGTGTGTTTGCTCAACCGCGCCTTCCTCTTGAGTTGACAGGCGCAATTTCTTCGCGTCACCGCTGCAAACAAACGCCACCTCACCTCTCTCTTCACCTGCACATCCTCTTTGCAGCTCCGACACAACCCACAATACTCATATCCTTCCAAAGCTTCAGCCATGGCTGGTTCGGACTTCTTCGTGAAGGTTGAGCCGCAGGAGTCTCCTCCGTTAGCGGTCCTTCGTGCTGTACCGGCCAATGACGCTCGAATTGGCTCACTTCCAATCCGTAGCCGCAATGCGCCGCTGAGCGAGCACAAAGAGGCTCCTTGGGTAGGCAATGAGCTCGAACGCATGCTTGCTCAACCCAACATCTTTGCTGCCAGCAAACCGTCTTGGATGGTGAACAGCGTAAGTGTGCCACGCGACGGAGGGTAGTATGCTCACTGGACCTTAGGCTGCTCCGAGTCCTCCTCCACCCGTATTCCACTACCGTAGGCCAGTCGATTGGCGCGGAGATACGCAGTCGGGTGCCAGCGAAGGCGTCAAGATCGAGATTGAACAAGAAGATGACACACCCATGACAAAGGGGGCTAAGAGGAAGGGAAGGGGAAAGGTAAAGGCTCCCCACAAATGGTCTCCTCCAGAAGGCTTCCGCACTAGATCTGGTAGGGTGGTTAAGAGACCACCACCAGAACAACTACAAGCTTACAAGCTTTCGGACAAAGTTCAGAGGGAAACAAAGGAAGTGCGCAAGATGAATAAGAAGGCTGTGCGTCGAGACTATGAGCTTGAATTGAAGACAGAGATCAAGCAACGCGCCATTGAGGAAGATCTCGACCATGGCCCTCTACCTCGACGAGCTCCCGGAATGCCGAGGCATCACTACGACTTATACAGCAGGCTAGCGATGAGAGAGGGACGACTAGAGCGCGAGAGAATTGCAAGGTCCATGTTAAATTCCACTGATACCGGAACAGCCTCGACAACGGCTAGAGCTCTGGACGTACCATGCAACACTCTACACAGCCTCCTCCAAGAAAAGATGCTTGCCGCCAACCAAAGCGCGTCAGATCTTGTGGCGGTGGAGGAAGCTCTTCGAAGAGCATCTGCCCTTGGGGAAAAGGTCTCCATCAGTGCACTCGACATTGATCGCTGGACACTCTCTTCGCCGGAGTACCTTCGTTTGGTGAAGAAACCAGTCGAATGCGTAATGCAGTGCAAGGAACTCCATGGCTACGAAGGATTTGCAGGAGATGCACGCTCCTACGCCGTGGACATACAGTTCCGAGTTCCTGACGAAGTTCCTGACTCCGTGATCTCTATCCCACTCTTCGTCCTCCCACGAAACGCATCGGCGTCTCTCGAGGCGGTAAAGGCTCGTGCCTTCAAGTTCATTGGTGCACATGAGGTGACGTCTGAATGGATGAATCATGGCCTCGGACGTTTCCACGAATCTGAATCTCCCATCCAATTCTTCGACGTCTTCCTCGCTTTCCTCGGCTACGGGCGCATGAAAGTGAACATTCCGCTTCGGATGCTGTATGGTGGTTCAGAGCTTGGATATGATCTTGAGAGGAGAATTGACTTCTCTGCGACCCTCTAAGGAATGTCTCTCAGTCACTTGTCTTCGGATGTGGAACATGTGAACTCTCGGTTGCTGGCCTCTTCACAGCTCGGATAGACGATGTCTGAGCTCCCTACCGAAGAAAGGCAGTCGAGATAATGGTCATAGTGTTCGGTCTGCAGATTTCATGCGAAAATGCATAAACAAAACCGTCTCTGGCTCTAGCATGTACAAGTTCAATGGAATTGAAGATCTGGCTGGTGTGGCTGTGATTAAGGACGTGTTGGTGGATCATGTACAGTTTACCTGCCCTTCCCACTTCAGGCCACAATGTAGTCAGAGAAGCTTCATAAACCTCATTCAAAAGTGAGTCCGTTGTCGACGCCTGTGATTGGAGATATTCTCGAAGTGCTTGAAGACTCTCGTTGCGCAATCGAAATATCTCGAAAGTACGGGTGGTCCTCACATGACATCGCGTCATCCCGAGTTCGGCAGAGCGCTGATCTAGACCTGTGTCCTGCTCAGCTCGTCATGACTACGCCCTCATACTCATTCCAAACACGCTCGCAGACACAACCTCGTCACCTCATACTCGCTTTCAAACATGGCTCTTCGATCCACAGATTGGTCCTGCCTCTTCGAAAGGTGAATCCACAAGCCGAAGTCGGCTCGATATTGAGGCCGATGGTTTGAGTCAACCTTTGTTATTCCTGCTTCTGCTGTCACTCCCCGCGCGACTTCGCGAGCATCTACACACAGTCTCGGAAATCGGAACAGGCTTACATGGGACGTGCACATTAAGTTCGCCAGTATAACCATTGCTCCCTAAGGAGTCTAATTCGCAATGGCATCAGCATATACACCAGGCCAGATCTCTGACTTCCTGAACTACATCAACATACCCTCAAAGTTCCATCTCGAGAACAACCCGCCACGCGACTTTGCCTTCCTGAAGGCGCTGCACATCCATATGATCTCAACTGTACCGTACGAGAACTTGTCTCTGCATTACAATTATGATCACACGATTCGCATTGACCCGCCGCATCTGTTCCAGAAGGTCGTCGATGATGACAGAGGTAGAGGAGGATATTGCATGGAAGTCAGCATTTTCTTCAATCACATACTGAGAGGATTGGGATTTCAGGCATATACGGCGGGAGTGAGGATCAGGCTGAGAGAGGGTGGAGTACCTGCTGGACCTTTTGTTGGATGGAGGCATATTGTCAACATCGTTACGCTTGAAGACGGCTCGCGCTACATGCTCGATGTCGGTTTCGGCGGTGACGGTGCAACAAAGCCACTTCCTTTGACCTCGGGCCATTCGGTCCACAATCTAGGTACCCAGGAGATTCGGCTCATCCACGACCACATTCCTAATCAGACTTATCGCACCGAGACTAACAAGCTGTGGATCTACCAATACCGCAACGGCTCCGACCTGCCGTGGAACTCATTTTACGCATTCCCGGAGCTCGAGTTCTTCGAAACGGATTTCCATATTATTAACTGGTACACTGGTGCCAGTCCTGAGAGCTTTCAGGTCAGCACACCTCTCATCGTCAAATTTTTGAGGAGGAAGAAGGATGGTGGTGATGAAGAAGAAGTCGAAGAAGAAGAAGAGATCTACGGGAAGAGGATGCTGGTATACGGGACTGTAAAGGAGAACCTCGGTGGCAAGACCAAGGTCATTCAAGAGTGTAAGAGTGAGGAGGAGAGAGTCAAAGCGTTGGAAGACCATTTCGGGATTAAATTGTCCGAAGACGAGATATCAGGAATCATTGGTCATTCGACAGAATTGAAGGGACCGAAGGAAGCTTGATCGACATCAGACCAACGTAAGTTCTCGTATCAGTCATGGCCTACGCTCATAGTCCAGCCCCGTCATTCCTCAAGCCGCTTTACAGCCTGTTCATTTCACATATAAAGATCAATTTATTTCAGGAAAGCCTAATCGAGCTGACAGTGGATGTGGCCTAGTGGTCAAGGCGCTGCGTTGTGGAAACATGCATACCGCAGAGATCGGGAGTTCGAGCCTCCTCATCCACACGCGTTACTCATTCATCTTTTGCCTGAGCCCAATTCGTTCTTCAATAGCTCTTGTCAGCGGTCATGGTGCTCAGAATCTTACGAACTTAAGAGGTGAAGGCAATTTCACGTGACTCTCATGATCAACATCTAATTTATTTTTTGATCCAGGACTTATAACGCGATACGCTTGTAAACTTATACAGTGTTTTTGAATTGCGAATCGGATTGCCAAGCCACTGCTACAGTGGAGTGTAATCCGTCCATATACTGCTCCTTCCCTCTAGTTTACCAGATCTTGACAATCATATGCCAAGACGCTAATCTTGCCCACGCAACTTCCGGGAAAACCACACATGCAATCTTGGAACTCTTCTCACCCGACCGAGAACGCCATTCACCCAGCTTTACAACCGCAATCTGTTCCCTGATAGAGCGAGGAAGAGAGGTCTCAATGGAGAAGCAGGGTAGGAAACGCATGGAGAACAATATAGTGAACGCCAATACTGACACCTGGGAAGACAGGCAGCGCCAGCATGCAGAGTTGACGCGGCGAATCCAGAATGCACAGAAAGCGAAGGGCCTAGAAGAGAGGAAAGCGGCGCTGCAGCTTGTGCGACAGGCACAAGCGGACCTCGACTCTGGTAGAACAGTGAACCACAGCGAGGACACTACTAGGGACGTTGAGATCCCAGAGTCAGAGGATGTAATGGAAGAGGTCGACGCCACGGATAACGTGCCACAACGGCTTTTCACAAACGATGATCAAGACATCAGCGATCTTGAATTGTCTGTCAACGAATGCGGCGATCAAGTCGAACTACCGGAAGACATTCTACAACTCGGAACAGTCGACGATGCACAAATCGCTTCCTTTTACGTCGCAGTCAAGCGCAAAATAGCTGAAGTCTGTGCAGCTGAGCGAGCCCTTGCGGATCCGATGAATATTCCAGACGAGCTTCGGCCACTGGACAGAGGCCATTGGGAGATGTATTCCCTAGAGATGTTCTGGAAGCTGAATGAAATCCCCGGGCTGGTCTTCGAATATAGGCACGCGGACTATGAGACACGGAAGGAGTCGAGAGCTAGACTTGTCGCTGCGGGGCTACTCATTGATGATAACACTATTCAGAGCGATATTTTTATGCATTCGATCTACCCTAGTTCTAATTGGAACAAGGTGTTGGCTCAAGAGGGATCATTTGTTAAGGGCAACATGGGCTTTCTGATCGAGCTTGTTTTTGTTGGACGCGGCTACCTCAAGCTGAGAGCTCCGAAAGCAGTGATCGAACGGGCAATCATGGGGAGTAAGGCCCCAGAGAGGGGCGACCATGAGATGATCGAGTTTAGTTGTATCCAAGTTCTGAAATGAGGTGGTAGAGGTACGACAGCACCCAGAACGGGACTCTGGCGTATCATGGTTTCATTGATGAAGTGCTGCGTGGTCTCTTACTAGCAAATGAGCGGTTTTCCTTACTTGGAGAGGGGGTACAAATATCAGGAGCACTTCGACCTCCAAATACCACAGTATAGGATATTACTTGATTAATCGAAGGGGCTCCTACTAGATGAGTCCGAGAGTACGGTATCTATGCCTCGGGACCGGGCTAAGCTTGGGATCCCAATAGCGTGATATAGGTCGAGCAGGTTTTACCTACTGGCAACATCCTCGCGTCTTCACGTGATCCGGCTTCTACTTCACCTTTACTCGTGTTTCCGGGTCGTCGTATGCCAAGACCACGTTGTCGCTCAACGTTGACCTCCAAAATCACCAATCTGGCTCAGTTTAGCGCTCCTTCGATCTGTCACTTCTACGTTACGAGTGGCGTTTCTTTGTGTAACATTGCCTGCAGCCATCACCTCACACTCGACGACTTGGCCCTGCACTTGCCAGGATTCCGATAAGGGTTTTCGCGACACTTTTCGGCGCGTCACTCCCTCTTTCGCGTCCAATTCGCGCCCTGCATGGGCGCCAAAGCTTCGTAGGAGCTCATATCTGCGCAAAGTTGCTCCACAACTGACAGAACGACGCCAGGAAACCCGTGCATATCAAAACACTCGTCCAGACCAGCGCAACACCAACAGCCATGCCGCCGTATGGTCTGTATCCGATACCCCGCCATCACCTGTACGGAGGTGCCACAAAGCCCCCGAAGTATAGCACTGCCCCATACCTCGAGGAGTACAAGGAGAAAGAGCTGGACCGCAAAAAAGCCGTCGTCTCTGACGCTGTATCCGCTGTCAATCAGATCAGTAAGGTCAAGGTCGTTATCGATGAAACGAAGCCTAAGAAGAAGCGCGGTCGTCCCAGCAATGCGGAGATCGCAGAGAGAGAGGCAAAGAAAGCGAAGGAAGCCGCCAGTATGAAGCCTGACGATGTGGTCGCAGCAGCGATGAGGCGCCATTCTGTTGGTGATCCACCGCATGCGAACACCAAACCAAAGGGGAATCAGGAAGAGAAGGAAGCCAGGCGTAGGAGGAAGGAAGAGCTGAGGAAGCGTCGGCGCGAGAGCGCACCCAGTCCCGTCGGACAGAATAGCGAAGATCATGGACCCAGATATGACTGCTCTCCTGGGTTGGGCTTGAACACCGACTGGCTAAAAAGTTTGGAGTCCTCAATGAGCGGCATTGGGGAGCGTTTTATCGAGAGCGCAAATGAGCCACTGAGGAAGGTAGTCAAGAAGAAGAGCCAGATCGCCAATTTTCTTCAGCAGAACCCCACGAATACTCAGCCGCACGGTACACAGGGTCCGAAAAAGAATACCAAGACGGTCAGAGGCTACGCAACTACACAGAAGGCATCGCCAGTACCTTTGCCCCCGCCCAAGACCATCATCGCAACCTCAACTATGTCTGCACCCACAACTACACATCAAATGAGGAAAATGAGTCCAAAGAAGTTGAACTTTGGCGCCAAAGAGATTCTGGTCCCAGAGACGCCGGAAATTGACTCTCGAAAGCCCAGTCAAGATTCTCAGATGATTTCTCCATCACCGTTAGCAAAGCGGGCAAAGACTTCAGACGACAGGTTCCAACACGTCATTTTCAACCCTTCGTTCTCATTTGCGAACGCTCCAGAGCAAAAGTTCACCCCGGTGCCAGTGCCCACGGTCCGCAAGCCGCAACAACGTTCCTCGAACTCGAATGACGCTTCAACACTCACAAAGTCTAGTTTGAAGAGGAGCACGGCACCACTGTCGGACAAACCGAAATCGAGAACCGTTCTAGGATCCGGCCAGGCCACATCCGATGTAATCTCCACTGGCACTTCTTGCACCTCCTCAGCCAGTTCGGCCAAGAGCCTGCCTGACTACTTCACACGCGTACCCAGCTCTTCGTCAATGAACAAACCTTGCAAGGCTAGCCAAAAGAGGCAAAAAGAGACGCATGAAGAAGCCCCGTTGAATGTATTCAATAACATGTTCCAAGAGGTTCGCAAGACAGTGAACTTCACCCACGAACAGGAGGAGCTGAATCTGTACCTCGAGTGGCATCGAAGCAATGACAATGACGATCCACTACCGTGTCTCGGCTCTGGCAGCGGCTGTACGGAGAAGAAAGAATCGATCTTACGTCTAGGCAAGGAGGAGAACGTCGATGTACGCAAAGCGCTAGAAAACGGGGGCCACAATCCACAGAACCTGCGCAATGCAGAGCAGGGCGGCCATGCAGCGGAAGAACTACTGATACTCGCTATCCGCGCACGTCTCCCGGTGCCCATTGGTCGTATCGACGGTACATGGACGCTCTACTGCCCCAAGTACGCGAAACACCATTTCGACAAGTACGGCTACGGTGAGCGTACCCTCAATATCGCAACAATCGCAGGCTTTCGAGACAGCAACAACTTCACCGCGCGCCTCAGTATTCCACCACGCCCCATGACGTACTCGATCTTGACCTTTGCTGCGCCGCCGCATGCTTCTTTCCGCACCACTATCATAACGACGGCTACAGAGGGGTACAAGATGGAAGTCATCTTCCTGGGCAACGGCTACCTGCAGCTACGGGTCGACCTGAACCTGCTGCTGAAAGGCAAGGCATCGGATATCATTGATGGCAAGAATGTCATGGAGTTCTTTGGTGTTCACAAGCATGCCGTGGAATGGGTCGAGGGACGAAAGCGAGAAAAGTGAGAAGAAAATTCTATCGAAGACTGGTGGCGTCAGCGCGACCTGATGCTGAACAACATATGACTAGACTGCTATGACTTGTGCCTATGACGCTGCAGGTTGATGAAGTATTGCTGTTTATCTTTGGCACATGGGCCGCGTCTTACTTGTTATTTTCCTCCTCCGTTCCATTATTGGCATTGTGGAGCCAATGTTCCTGACATGCACTGCTTGGGATTTGGCCAAATTGATGATGCCATATATGTTTCAGCCATGGCGGTAGCAGGGCCGGGTTCTACTGACACTGGTAACGACTGCAGGACTTGTTCGCGTAGGCTGATCATTATGTCGGTCAGTTGCTTCTTCTTGTACTTTATGTAGTTCTTATAGCCTTCGAAACATTGATCACTTCATTATGACACCGAGTTCATCATCCTATGTCTGGCATCGTAAAAATACGTAGGCACTAGACAGGGTGCGAGTTTTACACTCGATGTCCTAGGGGACCTTGAGCGTAACTACAATGCCCCGAGTAAGTGTACAGATCACGTTTGTCTCAGTCATACTGGCTCGGAGTAATAGTTAAGTGAGGCCCTACAAGAGGTAATGTTCCAATGTTGAAATACTCCTAAATAGTTGAACAGACTATCCGTACCTTGTCCGCAATGTCTGATGCGCATCGTGTGCTTACATTTCCGGGGAAGGAAGGGGAAGGAAGTGACTAGTGATAAACCACGCCAGAGGTGAAGATGCATTTCATGCCGAAGAACAGGTGCGATGCCAAGTGCGCTTGTCATACCCCTTCCTTTCACTCCTCCATCGCGCGCCTTCACTGTTGCAAGTCTAGTAGTTGCACGCGAAGACTTTAAAGTCGAACTTACCAATCCATCTCATCCATCCGACCGCCAA